ACAATATGTACTGAAATATTACGAGGTAACATAAACGTTAACACTGGAGGGTGCACCTTTAACTCTAAGCCGCCTAGGTAGGCAATTAGTCAAAATTTACTAGTTTTCTGTAAGGTTGAACTTGATAGATGCATAAATATCTCCTTCGCGTTTGTCGTGTCTAGCCTTGTCGTTGATGGAGTCCAAGAAAAGAGTACCTGGTGAAAAGTTAACGAGGCCAACTCCAAAGAAGTGGAGATTGAAAACGACATTTTTTATGAATTGTACCAAGTGACTCGTAAGTACTTAATATGCCAAAGGACAGCGTGATTTTTGATTATATTTAAAAATATCTGCGTATTTCTTGTAAATAAATGTTAATAAATCAAAGTCTGAAAACCGTGTGGCTATCTCCCAAAAGTGTAGGATAAAAAAATTGTTGTTGGTAATTGACTAAGTATTATTTAGACAAATTGTAAAGGTACAGATTAAATATGTATGATCTGCATTTATTTACTTAAAATCACGGCGTCAGTCCCAAACAGGTTCATAATAAGTAGCTCACGAACGAAACGAGCACTCGCCGAACAAAATATTTATTTAAAAAGAATACCACTCAACAACATAAGAACAAAAAAAGGAATGAACCGAACTACCTTTCCAGTTACATTAAATATTTAACCACTCAAGTCGAGATGTTGTTTGCTCATGTGCAAGTTGTGCTTATTCATTATTTATCCTCGGAAAGAAACGGAGTCTGTCGTTCATTCATGTGCAATTACGGCGAGAAAAATCGATTTGTATTGTTTAAAGGCAAACATAATTTCATATTTTTCTGCTTTATCAAATGCAAGTAACGTGACACCAACCTGCTGAGAAGAATGCTGTCGCAATGTTTACAAAAAGCACGTTTCTAGTTTCTATGGGTTGGGAACGACTAATGTACAAACAATTGTTTAATCAGGAACTGTATGATTGACGGCGATTTGGTTCCCGTATCTTGTTGATACTGGGATTGTCTTTTTATCCTGCTTATTGTAACGGTACTGGTACTGTTTTCTTTGACGTTCCAAGGCGGTGCATGTCGTTGGTACATTAATGTAAAAGCTCAGAAACGATAAGTGTTGTGATAAATAGAATTAAAAATATAGCCTTTGTCTTCGCAACTGAGGTACTATACACGTATTTTTTTTTACTGCATTGGCAGCTGCCATGGGTTTAAAACGTCGTAAAGCAAGACTAAAATCTACGATTCTACGATAGCAATTTCACTTACCTATGGAAATGGAAACATAGTTGTTCACTGCCGTTGACAAATTCACTCCAAATAAACAATAAACGAAATCTAGCGGTAGAAACACCATCTTAAATTTGTCTATAAGCCAAAACATAATCTACGATCTAACAAATTAGGTATTTATCATTATTTTTTGGTTAACATCTAATGATTAGAAACTCAACTATTTAAAGTCGTCTTTGTGCGCAGATGGCTCCATCTGTCATGCTAACTCCCAACTGTCCCATTCAAATGGCTACAGTAGGAAGCGACCTGCTATATTGCCAGGTACTTTGTTGCACAACTGCCACCCACAGAGAGCGAAACGCTAGTGACTGTCAAATAGTTTACTGCACGTGATAAACGTCGTTAAAAATTTAAAATGAAGTTTACATCAAAAAACAAATTGGATTATTCTTACAAAGGTTTGATTTTTATTATTAATGTTAATTATCAATATTAAATAGGAAAATGCTCTTTTAAACTACATATTGAAATATTTTTCTTAAAATCGATTGGGCGAGAAATAATGGTTTTATGGCTCTCATGGCTGGCACAATCATGTTGATATTTAAAGTATACCTATGATGATGATGGGTTTTTTGGAATATGCCGTGGCGTATACACCTGGTCATCGAAAGTTATAGCACTTCCTTCGCACTTGTTTGTAGAGAATCAAAGGAGTTTCAAATTTCTCCTTCTTTTTCCCTTTTTATTTAATTAAGATCAAGTGTTTTCTGTCATTATTTGAAAGCAAGTACTGTAGTACAAGATCTAGTTTTCGACCATTTGGTAGATTTTTTTTACCTTAAACCTTAACGATTTCATCAAAAGTTCATTACTTCTGATGAAATTGTTAAGATTTAGTAAGTAAAAAGAATCTACCAAGTAGTCAAAAACTAGTGCAGTGACCTAGTGACCCTATTTGTTTTTTGTTCCCTAACATTTTTTGTTCAAATATTTCAAATATCTTAAATTCAAAGTAAAAAAATACAAATTCTGAGCCGCTACCTTTTTTTTTGTTCCAATTTGTAAAAGTATCATTAGCATTATTGCTTTAGTAAATAAATATTTTGCTTCCATGAAAGAAACATTTTCTAAATCTAATAGCTTACACTACCCCATATTTTCTTACGAATGTTTAAAGAAATACGGGTCCTAAACCTGCTATAACTTTTTATTAAATTTTTAGAAAAATTGTATTACTCCCAAGCGCGGATCCAAAAATTTTTTTTTAGTACAAACAAAACAACGGAACTAATTATAAAAGGAAACCCCAAGAGCTCCATACCACACAATATTAAAAAACCGTCTAGAATTTGCTCTTTGAGGCGACATTTTCAAAAATCAAACAGAATAATTAATGATTAAAATTTTTCTGTTTTTTTTTTACGTTATAAACTTTCCCCCGCCTCCAAAGTCCATCTCTAGATCCGCCCCTGATTACTCCTCAAAATCCCCCAGTAACTATTACTGCAAAATCTTTAGTTTTTATCCGAAATATTAATTACAATTAGATTTCAAAAAAAATCAACAATACAATTTTTTTAATTGGCCTCTAAAAATTGTATGGGAGCAGAATTCACAATTTTAATAATAATAATATTTCTACACCTCATTCTATTCGCAAAGATAAGCCCAGAGCACGGGAGAAGGGGTAGCATATTATTACCCAGTATGTACACCCAGGAACGACTTAACATTGGTAAGCCCTAATCACTATTCAGTGCAGGAGTGAGGAAATCCTCGAAAACCTCGTTAATTAGGGGGGAGGTGAAATGCCAATACCTTAGTTATAAGTTCAAAATATTATGCCTTTCCGAAACTATTTTTTCTTTTTATTTTGAACAATTTACTTTTTACTTATACTCAGCAAAAAAATTAAAGGAGCAGAAATATTTCCGAAAATTTTTTTGCGATTTTTGAAAGGCTGTAACTTCGTGAATAATGGTCGTATCGAGAAAAAAAGGAAGCGTCTTAAAGCGTGAAGATTCTAGTTTTGAAATGTTGAAATGTAAAATTTTTTGAGCATCATCCTCGGCACAATCAAAAGAAGTAAGTAACGCAAGGCAAAAATTTTACATTTTCTTTTATTTTCAAAACTGCCCATGGGCTCAGTACTTTTTTTCTGGCTTAATCAATGCCAGGGTCATTTAGCTTGATTTATCAGCTTCTATTTGTTTTTTTTTATTTTTTGTACAAATATTTCTCATTGAAAAAATGGCAATTCAGTGAAGTCACCTTTTTTTTATCATCAATATCTCATAAATAAGGTTTCTGGTAGAGACTTCTCGAAGCGAGAATTCCCGGGAAATCTGGCCTTACTTGAGACGAGAAAAAAGTGTCGAGAAATCGAGAAATGCTGATTCTGAAAATATTTAGTTCCTGTTCCTTTAGTTGATTATTTCGCTTCTGTATCTTTAAATTAAAGCTTGTTTTTTTAAAGATTTCTTCGGTTAAATTAGTTATCTACTGTTTGTTTAATTAAAAGACTGCATGATTAATGATTGTTAATAATTATTAGAAGAAAGCTACGATTCAAAAACATTGAAATAAACAAAATTATATTGAAAGTGTTTAATAAAAAAACAAGTTAAAGGTTTTCAAGAAGATATTCAAAGTTTAATTTAGTTTTGTTAGTAGAAGTAGAAACATAAATAATTAATAAAAATATTGAATAAATAATAAATGTTAATGATGATTTTTAAGTATAATAGCATGTTTATATTTCGCATTGCAATACTACCAAAATTATGACTTTTTAAGTTTTAGAAATTTCTCGAGAATTCAAGAATTCCCGGGAATTTCTAGTCGTGAATTCTCGAGTCCCGAGAAAAAAAGTAAGCCGAGAAATCAGAAACCTTACACATGAACTAATGAACATAAAGTAAACAGAAGGTGGGTTTTGGAAACTTGAATCAATCTTCTTCAAGGGCAGGACATTTTAGTATGTTTGAAAAAAATTTTTTTTTACTCAGCGTTAATTAGAAAAGGTGTAAAAAAATTACTTTTTCTGCTGTTTTGGAAAATCTGACTACTTTTCAAATATTGCGAAAAGTTCCACTGTTTGTAGGTTTTTTTTAGCTCAATACACGCCCATATTTTATAAAAAATTAAAGGAGCAGGCTTATTGCTCCTTAACCATCAATTAATCAATAAAATGAAACAAATTTTTTTGTGACCGAAAAAATTTTTCTAGCATAAATTTGGAAAAATTGTTTTTTTTTAAATTTTTTTTTCGATATTTGACTAGTATTTTTTTTTTCTCAAACATAGCAAATGGCCCTTCCATTGATACAACCATTATTCACGTTACAGCCTTTCAAAGATCTCTAAAAAAATTTGGAAATTTTTCTGCTCCTTTAATTTTTTAACTGTTTATACAGGGTGTTCTCAAAACTGAGTTATTTAAAATTGTTGCCATTTGTTTACCATTCATGTTTTTACAACGCAGTGGTCGAAAATGGCAGTAAATCAGGTTTGTATTATAGCTTTTAATTTTTAATTTTTTTAAATAATTGTTAATTGATTTATTTGGAAACTTTTTTCCAGAGTCCTACCAGATGTTAAAATAAATTACTCAACTTTGAGAACACGCGATATAAATGTGCAAAAACTGAAACACCCTGTATATATTTCTTAAAACTTATGTAACCTTTTAAGTGACTTACCTTTTTCCTTAAGCTTGAACCACCAGACCAACGCTATATTTTTAATTTTTTTTCTTTTCATATAAAGACGAGAGTAATTTTAAAGGAATATTTATTATTACGAATAAACTAAACTTATGTACAAAATGCAACTCATACAAATCACCACGGTTTAAATTCAACGCCTTAGTCTGACTCGCTACCGCTAGACTCGAAATCGCCCACGTCGATGGAAAATTTATACTCTTGATCGCATCCCAAGTAAGCGTCGCTCATGAAGTACAAAGTGTAGTTGTGGTGGCCGGGACTGGGCGCCACGAAATCTAACTTGACCCGCGCCTTCTGCTGGAGGGTCAACCTCTTTATGGAGAGGAGAGAGTTGGATTTGGGATCGCCGATGACTACCCACCAGCCCTCCTCACGTTTCTGCGACAAGAAAAGTTATAATGTACAAAAATTCGGAAGCCAATATAAGAAGCGATGATTTAATTTTTTTTTTTTTGTAGAAAGATTTATATATTATTTGGCTCAAAAACTAACCTGGGGGAAGAACGGTGCGATAACCGGACCGCTAACTTCGTCCTCCCTTTCCAGCTGCACGGCAACATGGACGGAAGATCCGGAATGGATCTGATCCTTATCCAGGACCTCGTAGGTCAGTTCGATGTTGGGATATCTGTTACAAAACTTTGCCACGTCGGCCATTTGTGCATCGCTCAATTGTAGAAGTTTCGATCTGTCATCATCCTCTAATTCCATTATGTCGAATACAGTTTCCACACCCTAAGATAAGAAATTATACTACAGGATCGTTATTTGTTGGCAAAAGTGAAATTTATGTGGGTGTGATAAAGGGTTTGTTCATCGGTCAATTTTTACTGCAGTCGTGAACTTTTTACTTGATTTTTGTTCGTTATCAGAAAATGATGTGATCTACCGTGTGTCCCAACGCAAGATTTCAATTTCATGTCATTTGTGCGGCATAGTGTTATCAACGGAAAAAAGGCAGAAAATAGTGGACGTTATTAAAAATGGAGCACTACACAAAATAACAACAGGATTTCATTGTTGAGCGATATTTTAAAAATAAAATAATTAATAATAATTAAAAATAATAAGGTTTGGCAGCTACAGTTTGTAATTTTCACACAAAATATGGTCGGAATCAACTGTGAAGAGATTAATTGAAAAATTATGTTCAAATTTGATTTTTAGGATTACAGGCCAAACTCAATCTTTCGTATTGCAGACCAAGCACAATCTTTTGGATTTGGATTTGGATGAACTCATTCTTTTAAAATACAATTTGTGACATTCCAACATTTTATGGAAGATTATAGAGAATTTTCAATAAAATGGTTGAACGTTACAATTTAGATTACAGGAGCAACTCGGTCTTTTGGATTACAGGCTAAACTTGATCTTTTGGAGTACGACCGAACTCGATCTTTTGCATTACAGGCTAAACTCGACGTTTTCAAATGCAAGCTAATCACAAGCCTACTTGATTGTGTTGAACATAGAATTTTCCACACAATTTGAAAAACTCCATAACGTTTTTCGAAGATAACAGATAATTTAGATTACAGGAACAACTCAATCTTTTGGATTACAGGCTAAACTTGATCTTTTGGATTACAACCAAACTCAATTTTTTGCATTACAGGCTGAGCTCGATCTTTTGTAATACAGGCCAATCATAAGCCTACTTGATTGTGTTGAATATAGAGCTTTTGACACAATTTAAAACACTCCATAACGTTTTTCGAAGATAACAGAATTTTTTAATAAAATATCAATTTAGTCAATATCAAGTAAAAACATATGTGCAGTCACACCAAATATCTCACTATATTGACAAATTGTAAGCTGGAATTGTTTGTATGGAATTTTTCATTCAATTTAAACCTTAAATTCTAATAGGACCATATTTGTCGAGTTTATCATAAAAAATTTCTAGGAAATTCATTTTTTTTTTTTTGGAATACAGGCCTCATTGGAAACTTTGGATTATGGGTTGAACATTATAATTTAGATTACAGGAGCAACTCGATCATTTGGATTGCAGGCTAAACTTGATCTTTTGGATCACAACCAAACTCGATTTTTTGCATTACAGGCTGAACTCAATCTTTTGAAATACAGGCTAATCATAAGCCTACTCGATAGTGTCGAATATTGAATTTTTCACACAATTTGAAACACTCCATAGTGTTATTCTAAGATAACAGAGAATTTTTCAATAAAATGGCAATATCAAGTAAAACTTTTGTTGAGTCACACAAATATCTCACTCTGTTGACAAATTGTAAGCTGGAATTGTTTGTATGGAATTTTCCATACAATTTACACCCTAAATTCTAATAGGACCATATTTGCCAAGTTTATCATAAAAAATTTCTACACTCTTTTTTTTTGCAATACAGACCTCATCGGAAACTTTGGATTTTAGATTAAACTTTATAATTTAGATTACAGGAGCAACTCGATCATTTGGATTACAGGCTAATCTTGATCTTTTGGATTACAACCGAACTCGATTTTTTGCATTACAGGCTGAACTCGATCTTTTGAAATACAGGAAATATAACCTACTACTTGATTGTGTTGAATATAGAATTTTTCACATAATTTGAAACACGTCATAACGTTTTTTAAAGATAACAGATAATTTTTCAATAAAATGGCAAGTACTTAGTTAATATCCGTACTTGGTAATTTAGATGACAGGTCAAACTTGATCTGTGGGATTACAGGCCAAATTCGAACTTTTGAATTACAGACTAAACTTGATCTTGTGGATTACAACTGAACTTGATATTTTGCATTACAGGCCGAACTTGATCTTTTGGATTACAACCGAACTCGATCTTTTGCATTACAGGCTGAACTCGACCTTTTGAAATACAGGCTCATTCATAAGCCTACTTGATTGTGTTGAATATAGAATTTTTCACACAATTTGAAACACGCCATAACGTTTTTTAAAGATAACAGATAAAATGGCAATTATTTAGTCAATATCCGTACTTGGTATTTTAGATGACAGGTCAAACTTGATCTATGGGATTACAGGCCAAACTCGATCTATTGAATTACAGGCTAAACTTGATCTTTTGGATTACAACTGAACTCGATCTTTTGCATTACAGGCTGAACTCTACCTTTTGAAATACAGGCTCATAAGCCTACTTGATTGTGTTGAATATAGAATTTTTCACACGATTTGAAACACGCTATAACGTTTTTTGAAGATAACAAAGAATTTTTCAATGAAATGGCAATTATTTAGTCGATATCCGTACTTGGTATTTTAGATGACAGGTCAAACTTGATCTTTGGGATTACAGGCTAAACTCAATCTTTTGGATCACACAACGAACTCAATCTTTTGAAATACAATTCATACAATTTGAGACATCCATAATTTTATTGAAGATTATAGAGAATTTTCAATAAAATGGTAATATTTTGTCAGTATCAAGCTTCTATAGTCGCACACACACACACACACACACACACACACAAATCACTACTGCTGACAAATCACAAGCAAAAATTGTATTTTTCTATCGGAATCATACAATCAATAATGTATTTCTCTGTACAGCTGCTAGAAAAATAATTGTAGTGCTCCAATTCCGCAAACTATGTTGTCACATATTTTACACCTATTTTTTTTTTTGTATAGAACAATTGAAATTCAAAAAATAAGTCATCTTGAAAAAGATTATAAAAAAAATTCTAGTCACTCACCTTATCCGTGCACCTCTTGATAATGTCGTTATTGAAGTGCGGCAACTGCTTCAAATAAGAGTCCTTGCTCCACATGGCCTGCGTCACCATCTGGGCCAACTCCATGGCCGCCACGGCAGGGGACAACCACCCGTTGGAACTCAGCACGTCCACGCATGCCTGGATCAACCTGATGGCTTTGGCCAATACGGTTTCCGTATCGCCCTGCAACTCGGCGCCCAGCTGCAACCTGCAGAGGTGCGCCTGGAGCAGGAGGTTGGTCTTGACGTGGGGATCGTTGAATTTGGGTTGGCCTCCCGAGGGAGAGGTGAGTTTGTTCGGGAGTTTCTGTGACAGCTGTCTGAGGATGTTGTCCTCGCGGTGTCTTACTGGAATGTCTTCGTATTCGGCGGCCGATGAGATGATTTCCAGCAGACCACGGATTTTCGTCTTGCTGTTGAGGGACAAGCTGAATAATTCTGAAAGGATACAAGGAAGGTTCTGATAAAGTGATTAACTATTTGTTTTTTGCCAGCCTAGCACCATATTGTGACCTAAATTAGGTCAGTGTCAGAGATCATGGATATTGAGATTCACATACTAAACACAGTGCTTTAAAAAATATTTAAAAAAAAAACACTTATTAAAAGCTTGATATGATTTTATAAATATTCTGAATCTGCCAAATTCGTAAGTACTTTTAGTTATTTTTTATTATGCAGGGTAGTCCATTTCTGAAACTTCAGGGACCGATAGAGATTCAAAAAAATAATATGAGTTTGATATAAATAAAGTATATTCGAAAAATGCTTTATTAAGGAAATACAAGGTGTTAAAGAACGGTTTAAAAAAATTAAATTTATTAATTGTTGTCAAACAGCCAAAGATGTCTCAATGAAATTTTGTAGACGTTAACTACCATCGAGAGAGCACGTTTTGCAATGAAAAACATTATTTTTAGTTTTGCCAGTGGCTCCCGCACTAGCACATTCCTGGATATTTCTAAAGAAAAAATTGGTACGCCACTGCTTTTTCATAAAATAAAAATCAGTTTTAGATTCCTCACTCAATTTGGAAGAAAAAAAAGATCACTTTCGATTTTTCTATCCAATTCAGCTTTTTCAAAGTGATCTCTGAAAAACATTTAAGCAAGTACGACAAAATAACAAATTTATCTGTCAAATTAATTAGTAACTGTATCACATTTAGTTAGCTCTCTAGTAATTTGATTTGTAATTTTTGTTATTGTTATCGTTATTATTAATTATCCTGAAAAATGCTTTTTAGTAACGAAGAATACGCAGATATTCAGTTTTGTTACAGATTGTGTGATGGAAATGTGGAAGCGGCAGTTCGTGAATATCAATCCAAATAGAAGAATTCCAGATGCTCGTGTCTTCATTGGAACAGATCAAAAGTTTCGTAACTTTGGCCTGTGTGTTAATAATGAACATAACATAACAGAAACCGTCGCAATAATAAACTAACACACAAAATTATAGGGTCAAAAGAATTTCCGAAATTTTTCCATGATTTTTGACAGACTGTATTTAGGTGAAAAATGGTCGTATCAGAAATTAAAAAAAAGCATTTTGAAGCTCTAAGATTCTAGTTTTTAGATCTTTCGGTCGAAATTTTTTAGGAGCTACCATTGTCATGCAATTCTAAGAAATAGCGCCACAAAAAAATTTTGAAAAATTTTTTTATTTTACGAGTCCGCAGACTTGAAAAATTTTTTTTCAGCTAAGCCATTACATGGACCAGATAGCTTGTTTATTCAGCTTCAATTTCCTTTTTTTTTAATTTCAATATGACCACTTTTCATGGAAATATTGGACTTTTAATGGAAAAGTATCCTTTTGTCTTCAAACATCGATATCTCGGTGACAAATGGTCGTACAGAGAATTGAAGGGCAGTTTCGAAAACTGCTGCCACAACTTTTCAGAAAATTTTTTTTTCATTTTTTAGACGAATTTTAAAAACAGGAAAAAAAGGGTAATTTATGGTTTTTTAGAAAATTGACGGCTAAATTAGAAATATCCACGAAATGACTAATGTTAAGCATGACTTACAGTTTGATATACCCAGAAAAACCCTGTGAAGTTTTATCTCAATCTAGCGAACCGTTTCTTTGTTTCAAACAGTCAAGCGTTTGAAAAAAATTACACTTCATAATCATGACTAAAATGGAAAAAATAATTTTTCGAGCATTTCTCACATTTTTACCGCAAATAACGTTTAAATTGATGAAAAAAAAATCTGGAAAAAAATTTTTTTTGATTTATTTTTTTTAAAAAACTGTTTTTTAAGTGATTACATACTGCACAAAAATTAATTAGAAAATTGTCTCAAAAAACGGTATGAATCGGGATCGAAATCTGATTTGGGTTTGGGTCATCAACTTTAATTTTAATTTAATTAAAAGTTGATGAACAGAAGCATAGGAAAAGTCGAATTGTGCTGATTTTGTTTTCTTCAATGTCTGAAAGGTTTTCCAAAAAAACAAAAAAACTTCAGATTTCGAAAATGTTTTAGTTTTTTTTTTTTTTCATCAATTTAAACGTTATTTGCGGTAAAAATGTGAGAAAACCGCAATAAAATTCCAGTTTTCGAAACTGCCGTTCAATTCTCTGTACGACCATTTGTCACCGAGATATCGATGATTGAAAACAAAAGGATCCTTTTCCATTAAAAGTTCGATATTTCCATGGAAAATGGTCGTATCGAAATTTAAAAAAAAAGGAAATTGAAGCTGAATAAACAAGCTATCTGGTCCATGCAATGACTTAGCTGAAAAAAAAAAATTCCAAGTCCGTGGACTAGAAAAAAAAAGAAAATTTGCAAAAATTTTTTGCGCTATTTCACAAAATTGCATGATAACGGTAGCTCCTAAACAATTTCGACCAAAAAAATCTAAAAACTAGAATCTTAAAGCTTGAAAATGCTTTTTTTTTCATTCCCGATACGACCTAAATACAGTCTGTTAAAAATCACTTTTCACCCATTAATTTTTTGCATTAGTTTAGTTTTAATTTAAAACAATCTATTTTTATGAGATTGTTTTGCAGTGCAGTTTCACTCTCTGCCACTCTGTCATTTTCTTACAATTAGTTTAAAACTGATGAGCTTCCATACAACCCAGTTCTGGAACTGCCCAGTGACGACGTAGACAAGAGTTTAAGTGCAGTTTAAAAAATGAATTTTAACTTTATTTGGTTTAAAAAAATATATATTTCAAGTTAGCATTCTGAAGATCACATACTATTACTCCTAAAAAACTGATTCCCACTTAAAATTGCATTCTGTATAGGTGATTTTTGGTAAAATTACCAATTTTCGTGAAAATACCCAAAATTTTATTAAATATCAATGTTACGAATATTGTTAATGTTTGTATTTTACTTTTATTATATAAGTATAGTCTTTCCGATCTCAATTGAAGACCAAAGAGTTAGGCAGTATATATTAGGTTCAATCGCTACGCAGCAACTCGGCATTGAAAAATTTGAAAAACTGGTTCACATATTTATTTAGCCATACCCATATACAAGTCTGGTCGAACTAAACGTGGTGGTAGAAATGTATACAACTAGATGAAAAATGCGCGCGGGGAAACGGCGCACACACACAGCCGCACTGGGCGATGGGGCCATAAATTTCAGTTGTTGACAATGCAGTGCAGCAATACCAAGCAGTAATATTTTAATCAAAATGTAAATGTTTTTTGATATGTCAAACAAAATTTACCATCAATATAATAAAATTGTTTAAGGACATAATTAATTAAAATATGTTGTTGGCCAAATGAACATACAATAGAAATTTTTTCCACATTATATACAAATTATTATTTTTTACCTTTAGCAGAAAACTTTTTTAAGGACGCCTATGAAACTTATTAAATTTTATTGCTAGGTGTTTTTATACATGTTCAACTGACTAATGGAAACGGGGCTACCTGTAAAAGTGAATAAATAAATAAAAAAGTTGTTTAACTCACCGATTGTAGTGTAGTTGATGTAGTAGTAAGCGGCGATCATTCCCAGATTCAACGGCACGCAATCCATCTCGTCCTCCACACTTATACACTTCGACTGTTCCAAATCCGACAACGTGTTCTCGACGAGTTCCGAAAGATGATCGGATAAATGTCTGTGCGTTACCCCTTGCAGATTGTAGTAGTTCGGATTTTGCGTCAAACGTCTATACAGGAACGTCCACGTTAGGTAATCCACTGCATCCTGCTTGTTCTCAATAGTTTTCGTGACGATTTCCGCATTAAAGTGATCGTGCAGCCTGTGGTCCAAGTGACTCTGTAATTGAAATAAATTATTTTCCGTATACGTAACATTATTGCTATAAACACGTCCTCACCTCTACGGGCAATGGATCGCTCAAGAACTTCTTGAAGAAATCCTTCTTCGAACTCTGACACATCAAAACGCACTTGGAATCGTCGTCTTCCAGGGGCCTGTTAGCCCTTCCGACCATTTGCAGAACGTCTGTGACAGGATAGTCCTCGTAGGCGTGGACCTTTCCGTTGTAAAACTGTGTGTCCATAATGATGACCAGATGAGCGAATATGTTCACTGCCCAGCACAAGTCTCTGGTAACGACGGCTATCTGAACGGCCCCGGAATCGAAAAGTTGCTCTACCAGTCGCAAATCGCTGGCTGTGAGGCCCTCGTGCATGTAGGCAACACCTTGGGACAACGTCTCTTTCAATGTCTAAAAAGAGATAAAAATTTGTCAGTGCTCATTTCTTGTTTAATGCTACAGCCATTCGATAAATTACTGCAACGACTAAAGAGAACAGTTACAAAATAAATGAAAAAACATTTTAATTAATGATATTGTGGGAAACAATCACTCTACGCAACACCTACAGATTAGTAGATCATTTGTTGCAAAGTAGTGCTTTGTGGCTGTAGGGATTGAAAAGGAATGACATTTAAGATGACATATATTTTGTAGGTTATATCTCGCAGAGTGACCTATGCTAGTAGGTAAAAAGTAATGCTTAGTGTAAGTAGGCATGACATTTAAGATATGACATTTACTTTATAGGTTATCTTAACTCTCAAAAAAAAACAAAAAAATTACATAAGAACTTACAACAGTAGAAAAGGAAACTACACACAAATAATTGTAAAATTTGTTAAAAAAAAAAATTAAAATCACAGCCATTTTGGGGCAAACAAACGTTTAAAAATCGTAAAGAAGTTGTTGAGGTTATATTCGTGTTCCGCACTCATTTTATTTTAATAAGGTTAAGTACGTACCAGAGTAAACTGTAAATGATTGTTTTACTAATTAATTATGATCGTTTAACAAAAATTCTTAAGAAAAACTTCACATACACACCAGGTAAAAACAAAAACTTGCGTACTAATAAACGACCAATGTTTTTATTATGAAATGCAATATTGCAAGATTGCGACTGCCGAGGTGGTAGAGAAGAAGGGCTATATTGAAAGACTTGCCTGTTAAAAAGAGATGGAAGATGGCAACAAGCCTCCGTGCTCAACTGGTTAAGCTTGAATGTAGATATCGTGGTATCATTTCAAAATCACGCAACATATAGAATACTGGTAAAGGCTGGAGGCTTGAGAAAGTTAGCTACCGGCGACTATAACGCGAATTCGGAGGGCGCGAAAAATAGTGAACATTTAAAAATCATATATTTACGTACTCGAGATCTCCCTTAGTAGGTACATAATTAGTTGCATATGAAAATAGATTTGTAAGAAAATTTCTTAAATAACATTAATTATATCATGTAAAATAAAAAAACTAAAAGATAACTTTTACAATACTATCAAAAACTGCAGAGGAGCCGCCACTGCTATAAACTGACTACACATGAACCAATATTGTTTAACAAGAGAATTCGACAAGAAAGAAATTTATTACTGATTTCATTATAAAAGTCAACAAAAACACAATTTAACTGAAGCAGTCTCACCTTATCCGTCATGCGATCCAAAAACGGCTTGATATCCTCTTCCTCGGCATGGAAAAACTTGTTGGGCTGCCCCTCAGAAGCGGCGTACGTAAGCAGATCGATTGCCGTCAGCCTCGCTTGTTTCCTAGTGGGCACAAAGACGATGGCCGGCTTATGGGGGCTGTACCTCAAAATAGCGTTGTAGACTGGTTTGGCCATCGCGATCAATCTTGAAGCATTGTGAGTATTATTAATGCCTTGGACGTGCAACTCTAACGGAATCGGTCGAACGCTGGGATGAAAATTAAACGTCGCGTTAGCATTACAGCCCAACCACTGAGCGACGTCCTTGTAATCCGTCAACGAGGCACTCAAGGCTATTATCCTGATGGGTTTCTCGATTTGCGAGGAAATATATCTCATTCTTGAACAAACGACTTCTATTACGGGCCCGTCCTCGCCTCCGATCAGATGCAGCTCGTCCACGATAAATAAATTGACGTTTTGCACGTTCTTCCTCTGCTTCCACCTTCTGGATAGCACGTCCCATTTCTCAGCGGTCGTTATTATAACTTGACCTTTCGCTAGCAGTTTCAAGTCGGTTCCAGTTTCCCCGGTTAACAGCACTACTTTCCGGCCGAGGTTTTGCCCGAATTTGTTATGCCACTCGGCGAAAACAAGCTCAGCTAAAGCGTCTTTCGGGACCAAGTAAACACATCTGCCCTCGGGATTCCTCTCGAATAACCTCAGAATAGCAAATTCTGCTATGGTCGTCTTTCCGGAACCCGTCGGAGCTCCGATGAAAATGTTGTCGTCTCCGTTGTACACAGAATTGAACACCTGTGTTTGAATGGGGTTAAACTGCGGGAATTTGTCTGAGTACAAGCCCTCGTATTTCTCGTTCCGTAGCGCTGTTATGGGCAACGGTTGCAGGTCCAAGAGTTCCGTAGGCGGGAAATTCTTCTCGGGTAAGATTAAATGTCTGAAGGAAACGGGCAGCTGAGTTTCCGCTCCTATCCACCGGTCCGAGACGATCCGTAGGAAATACTGCGGTGGTAACGGTTCGAATATCGGTACGAAGAATTTAACCAGGTGCTCGTCTTGGCAGTATTTCGCTTTTAAAAGAAAATATTCGTGATGCAGAATGACCTCAGAGTCCACGTCTTCCACCAAGATCCAGAAAGCTTCCGACGCCCCGTGCAGTTTCTCGTCCCATTGAAAGTCTGGCGTTACGGTTAGCTCGACTTTAAGCATAGACCTGGTGATTGGTTGTATGTGGGTGGATAATTCCAATTTCGGGAATTGGTGGACGTATTTGTGTATGGTTTTTCCTAATTTGGGGACTCGGATTAGTTCCCCGATCTCGTTAGGACCCAGGTCGTATAATCGTTCCCAAGGGAAGTTCTTCTTCTCGATTTTCTTCACGATTTCCTCGGGCATCTTCCTAAACTGCCTCAACGGCGACATCGACTGCCACATTCGCTTGTCGATCATTTTACACAAAGCCAAAGATTTATCCGCTAGCTGCGCCCATCCCCTATGCAGAACGATCTCGAATATGGCTCTCATTAAACGGGACGCTGACTGGGTGACGTACACCATATCGGACATCAGAGCGAAACCTTCCAGTTTAAGTTGCGAGATGTAGGCCTGCAGGAGGACGTTCACTTTGGCGCTGGGCTCTTCTATGCTCTCTTTTATGGGAATCGGCACGCGTTCCATCAGTTTCTGCAACTCGAGCTTCTCTTCCTCGCGTACGGCGATATTTTTGAATTCGCCGGACAATGAAAACACTCTGAAGAGCTCGATTTCGCTCAACATGGGCTTGAGCAGTTGGTTGTAAGTCTGCATGGTCTCGTGGGTGCAGTAATAGTGGGAGGCTATCCTTCCGAGTTCGGTCACTTGGAACTGACCAGTTTTCCGGTCGTACTTAACCAAACCGCTCCTGTCCAAGTGCAACGCTGCCGTGTGGATCAGATCCGCCCTGTGCTGCTCCAACAGCTGGTCTTGCTTGACGTGGTCGTGGGCGATTCCGTAAAGCGTGGGCTGGCGCATCATTCGTATGTAAAGGTATGTGTAGCCGAGCCACGTTACTGCATCTCTCACGTTCTGTATCGTGCCGAGTACGATTTCAGCGTTCAGCATGTCGGCCAGCTTAGAAACCATCTGCGATTCGATGGGAAGTTGTTGATTTAATAACGACAAGTAGTACTGCAGCTCGCTGTGGTTCGTTATCAGTATTCCCTCGCCTTTGGTGTCATACTGGGGTCTTCCGGCACGACCCAACATCTGAAGCACGTCCAAGGCGCCCAGTTCCACCCATCTACCCTTTTCCGGGTTGTAAATCTGAGTGCCTTTAATTATTACGGTGTGCGCCGGTAAATTAACACCCCAAGCTAACGTAGCGGTGGACACAAGCACTTGAATGTGTCTGTCTGCGAATAGATCCTCCACCAAAGTCCTATCGACGCGGGTCATGCCGGCGTGGTGAATGGCGAAACCGTACGGAAGCAGATCCTTCAACTCGTGGTTTTTCACCTGCTCCGCCTCCGTGCGCAACACCTCCATAGAAGCCGATCCCTCTCGTAGAAATTGCCCCAGCGTATCCTTTTCCAAGCACATATCCCTGATCGCCCTCGCGGTCTTGCCGGTTTCCTTCCTGGAGTGTACGAAGATCAACACCTGGTTGCGACCGGCGTGTTCCATCGTTTTCTCGTACACGATCTCGTTCATCACTTGGTACCTCTTCAGGGCTTTCTTCTCGGTAACGCCGATGTACTGCTGCTCCAAGGCTACCGGCCTAAAGCTGTTATCGAAGTGGAACAGTCCGGAATCAGGTTTGACTCTAAGGAAGGCGGCTACGTCTTGATAGTTGGGTAAGGTGGCGGATAAACCGACCAAACGTACGTCCTCCTGGGTGGATTCTATCATCCTTATCGTCCTGGCCACCAAAGCCTCCAGAACCGGGCCCCGTTCGTCGTGAAGAAGATGAATTTCGTCTATGATAATCAACCTGACCAAGGAAGTAAACGTTTTCTCTCCTCCTTTCCTCGTAATGATATCCCACTTCTCGGGAGTGCAAACTATGATCTGAGTGGCTGCTATCTGCTCCCTGGTCAGCTGATGGTCGCCCGTTAACTCGGAAACGGTAATATTGTAACTCGCCAGTCGCTTACCGAAATTACCCACCATTTCCTGTACGAGGGATCTCATGGGAGCCACATAAATGATCTTGAAATCGTCCGCGTTTATGGTACCGTCCGGGTTTATATGCTTGCCGATCTCTCTCATCATACATAACAGCGCCACGTTGGTCTTACCGGCGCCCGTTGGGGCACAGAGAAGCAAATTCTCGTCAGATTCAAGGGCGGCCTTATATAGTCTACTTTGAATTCGGTTGAGAGTTTTAAAACCTTCAAAGACGGGTTGTACATATTTCGGCAGTTGATCGACGGGTTGCAGTTTCTCATTGTCCCCGAAAGGTTTGGGTTTTAGAGCGGGAACATGAACCTCTTCGTATCCTTAAAGAGAAATACAAAAGTCAAGTTATTTAAAATTTAATCAAAAATACAAATCGATTATTCGTGTACATAGGCCAGGCAAATAACATTTTTACTCGAAAAAATTCCTATCCGCATAATTATTGTAAAATTGTCTAAAGGAACATAATACAAGACATCTCTCGTGAGTCAAAAAATGTTTAATGGCTAACTTTTCTATTTAAACAAATAAGTGAGGAAAACGGTTTTTTCACTTTGCAGAGAAAACCATCAATTTTAGCGAAAAGTGACTCTGATACAGCTTGTAGGGAATAAAATTATCTACAAAGTGAGACTTGTTAAATTAAAATCGGTTAATAAACAAAAAAGTTATTGCAAAAAAACAAGAAAAGTGCCCATTTTTTAATTGGTTTATAACTATCGCGTTTATTGTTAAAATTTTATAAAACCTATGACAAATTGAGGGTTTTGTTATACTTCAAAAGTGTGCCAAAAGCGCTGTAGGTGCAATAGTTTTCGCACAATTCAATTTGTTTATAACGGAGGCTCTAAAAGTTATGAACTTTAAGCCTCTGTACAGGCGTTAATTTTCAACCAAACATGATTCTGAAAGCGTCATTGTAATCTTAAAGACGTAATTAAGCGACCTATTAAAAAATATCACCGTGTTTTTGACATTAACATTCTCAAATTGTGCATTAAAAACCGTGAGTTTTTTGCTTATAAACAATTTGAATAAAATTGTTATTTTTTTAAAAAAAAGGACCCTCTACGACCAACAGGAGCCAAGATAAGAATTTTTTTTTTTTAAATTGTGCAATTGTTTAGAAACATTATTACTTGAATTTTTCGCAAAATAACGTGTTCGACGTAAACTACGATTTCCCGTGAATTGCGTTGAACAATGTGGAAAATTAACGACTCATGAGCCCTTTAAAGAGAAAGTACTTGCTAATTAAAATGTCCGAAGTGGTGGTGGGGGAAGCTCGTCCAAGCGAGTCGGATGCATGAGAAAGGTGAAATCCAAAATTCAAATTGATGCGCGCTGTAAAATTTTGCAATATCTCGGCTTTTATTCATCGTAGAAACTTATTTTTTTTTTAAACTGGGGTAGCTCGACGAAAAAATAACAATGGGCATATTTACGAATTTGTAGAATAGCCCTGAACCCCAGAAAAAATAAAAATAAATGGAGCTATCGTTCATTTAAAAAATTATTTTTTTTTTATATATTAAGCCAACTTATTTTTTCAATATTTTGTTAGTTATTTTACACAAAAAAATTTTTGCATCAAAATTAATTCAAAAAATATTAATCACAACCATTTTCAATAATAGATATAATGCAATATAATACAATTTAAAATCTAAAATTTTTTCTATTTTTACTAAAAATAGCTTTTTAATTGAACGATAGCATTTATTTATTTAATAATAGTAAAATAATTCCGAAATTGAAATTTTAATTAATATTTCTTTTAACAATAATTTTTGTAATTTTTGTAAATTAAAAAAAATTCAGTATAAACGATGCATTTTTTCTGAGGTTCAGGGCTATTCTACGAATTCGTAAATATGCCCATTGTTATTTTTTCGTCGAGCTACCCCAGTTTAAAAAAAAAAGAAGTTTCTACGATGAATAGAAGCCGAGATATTGCAAAATTTTACAGCGCAGATCAATTTGAACTTTAGATGTCACTTTTCTCGCGCACGCGACTGTCTTGGACGAGCTTCTCCCACCACCATGACGGACAGTTTACTTAGCAACTCTTTAAAGGGCTCGTGAGTCGTTAATTTTCGACATTTGTCAATGCAATTCACAGGAAATCGTAGTTTACATAGTATTTTGCGAAAAAATGTTTGCCAGCTATCCATTGAATCTATTTTCGGTGAGGTACCATAAATAGCAACAATTTAATTCAAATTGTTTATAAACGAAAAACGCAGTTTTTTAATGCACAATTTGAGAATGTTTGTGTCAAAAAAACGGTGATATTTTTAATAGGTCGCTTAATTACGTCTTTAAGATTACAATGACACTTTCAGAATCATGTTTGGTTGAAAATTAACGCCTGTACAGAGGCTTAAAAGTTCATAACTTTTGGAGCCTCCGTTATAAACAAATAGAATTGTGCGAAAACTATTGCACCTACAGCGCCCACTTTTGGCATACTTTTGAAGTATGGCAAAACCCTCAACTTGCCATAAGTTTTATAAAATTTTAACAATAAATGCGATAGTTATAAACAAATTAAAAAATGGGCGCTTTTCTTGTTTTTTTGCAATAACTTTTTTGTTTATTAACCGATTTTAATTTAACAAGTCTCATTTTGTAGAGAATTTTACTCCCTACAAGCTTTCTGTGAGTCACTTTTAAATCAAATTTATGGTTATCCCTGCAAAGTGAAAAAACTGTTTTCCTCAGTTATTTCTTTAAATAGAAAAGTTAGCTAATAAAATTTTTTGACTCACAAGATGAGAGATGTGTTGTATCATTTTCCTTTGGACAATTTTACAATAATATCACGGATAGGAATTTTTTCAAGTTTCTATTTTTTTTCCGCTAATTTTCCTGGTGTAACAGTGAAATATATCTTAGACAACTGCCAATAGGACGACACATCCTATAAATAGACAGTTTTTCTTGGTTCTAGCAGTTTTCTACATAATTTCATTAAAATTAAAAATTAAGAAGACAATGACTATAATAAGAGGGCTCTATAGAAAATAGGCATCCGGCAATACATTTTTATAGATTTTATTAGTTTGTCTAAATATGAATCAATGCACAAATCTAACTCCATTCTAACGCAGATTTTCTATAAAATGGACTTGGTTTGAAACTCAAAATACTTTTTGTTGCAAAGAAATTTGTAATTTGCCACTTTTGAACTTTGTAAATTACTAATTTCTTTACACCAAAAAGTAATTTGAGTTTCAAACAAAGTCCATTTCATAGAAAATCTGGATTAAAATGGGGGAAAGTATTTTATCAGAGGACGCCGTTGCTTTGTTTCCAAGATAAAGAAATAATATTTTTTTAAGGCCGGACTACCATTTACATTAATTTTTTAGTTATTTATAATTACCTTTCCTCTGTTTCCTGAAAGACCCATCGGGCAGCTGGCACCTTTTGTTGGCCATGAAATGGGACCCCTGTTGGAACACCAGATCCTCGAAATCTATCAGGTGCCTTGAACCTGCCACTTGAGCACTTCCTGTGTCCATATCGTCTGAATCGTTCTTCCTCCTGTGGGACCTCGAGGCGGACTCGTCATCCTCGTCATCGTCGTCGCCTTTCCCCGTCTCCAAAAGCTTCAGGATACGATGCAATGAAGGATCGTCAGACATTTTGTCCTTTATCTTTTGGCGTTCCGAGTCACTCTGAGACTTGGCCAGTAGAGTACAGTACAAAACTAAAATTATAATAAAAAATTTGAATTTTTTACTGCTATACGTTCAGGAGAAATATTACTTACTCATCTGTCTGTGCTTTTTTAGCTGTTTTATGAAGTCGAAACAGTCGTAACCTAAAAGTAAAACCAACTGATTTTCACATTCGCGATCGTCGCCGGCGTCTCTAAGAACGTTCAGGACCTCCGTAGCTTTGGCTTGTGACACCATCGCATCGTCGTATATTTTGGACAACCGTCTTTGCAGCCAGTAAGCGTCTATGTCCAACGGATGAAGAGCTTTTTCCTTTTTCATCTCTTCCACTCCACCCAACTAAAACAAACATTTTATTGGTATTTATTTACTGTAACGTAAAATCCTAAAAAATTAAATTTTACCAGTTCTTATCCTTAATGAAACGAAAATATAAAAATGAAAACAAAACAAAAACTTACATTTTCTGCGTGAATAGCGCTGTCTTCTTTAGCTTCCTCGCCTTCCTCATCGTCCATTTCCTCCCTAACCTCTCCATACATGTCCTCATCGTCTTCCTCTTCAGACCCACCACCAAACTGAACGTTGATCCCATAAGTTTCGTCGATATTTTCTTCACCGGTGTTAGCTTTATTTTCTTCATTACCGAAATCTGTTATTTTCTTACCCAGGTTGACCAGCAGTGCAAACCTTTCCTCGGCAATTGGCCCTAAAATTATTTATTTGTTCTACAAACCCACGCATTATTTAAATATTCTTACCTAATAATGTTTCGGTCTCCTTCTTTTTCTCCCGTTCTTTTAATCTGTCGTTTTTCAGAACTTGCAATACTTCGTCGGCAGCTCCGCAAAGAATGTCTCTCGGTTGGTCACCTAAAGCTTCTTGTAGGAAACTCAATAAAACCTCGTATGTCTGCCGAGTTTCTTGTGTTTTAGGTCTATATATTATACCAACCATTTCATCTACTCCCTCCGACAATAAAGTTACTCCTTTCATCCTAGCGAAATCATACTGTGCTTCATCTCTCTTCTGTCGTCTAAAAAAATACAGTATTAAAAAGTGCTAAAACGAGACGGGTACAACTTACTTTGCTTTGCGCTCTTCTGCTTTGCCAGGGCGAGTTCTCTGAGCTCTGTCACCCATTTTTGTCCCCGTCAGCTTGCCCACAAGGGACATAACCTCTCCAGTTGCCTCATCTCGGCTTCTTCTTTCGATAAATCGAACATCTGCTTGCAACACAAGATTGGAATTCTGAAATATTCAACAAATTAATATAAATAATTGATATAAATAGCATACTGATATCAGTAAACACAAAATGTTTAGAAGCGTAACTTATACGTTGTATTACAATCAACAATAATTATTAATATGTAGTTTGAATATATAAGCAAAGAATTACTATTCATTAACAACTTACCGCTTTATATTCATACTGGAGCTGCCTTGCCGCAGCATCCGCCATATTTTGATTTTGATTTGATAATTATTTTATTTATTTTTCACTTTTCGCTAGGCTCTTCTGTAACGTCAGTATAGTTCAGTAATTTGTGACGGCAGTTATTTGATGTTTGTCACAGCGTTGCCACTCGTACCATAATAATTTAAATTAACCCTAAGAGGTAAAAAACCCTAGATTAGTGAAATTTTTGAGATTCAAATTTAGACCTTAGATTTTAAAATTTGAAATCTGAAAGTAGCACGGAACATGAAAAGTAAACAAACTATCAAATAAAAATTGTTTCATAATTTTTTTTATTAATAAAATTTACCTTTATAAACTACTTACAAATACAGATTACAATAAATTTTAAACACGATATCTTTTGAATTTGCCTGCGTTTCAGTCTTAAAGCCAACGCCGGATTAAGCCTCGGAGGGGCCTGCTGGGGCTTGAATGGAAGGGGCCCTCTTAAACTTCCTTTATGAGGAAGCATAAGTCCTTTTAAATTAATTAATTTATTTTCTTAATATTAAATTTTATATGTAATACAACATACATTTCCAATGAAAATGATTTGATCGGGTAAAATGGAGGCGGCAATCCTCTCCCTTGAGACTGACATTAAAAACGCCCTGACTCAGACTACGACGGAGACCATTGTCCCCCGACTGACAAACCCCCGGGGCACCCTCCCCGATGACATAAAAAACTTAATACGTGACAGACGACGTGCGAAACGGCTTGCCACCCGCACCCGCCTCCCCCGACACAGACATGACTTAAACGTACTTAACAGACGGGTGAAGGCGGCTCTGGATGAACTGGCCCAGGATAACTGGGCTAGGCACCTGGAGTCGCTGGATCCACAAGACAACAGCCTCTGGAAAACGCAGAGGGCCCTGCGACAGACCGCTCGCCGTAAAATTCCTCCAATCCACGGTAGTGTGGGGGTGGTTTACACGAACCAGGAAAAGGCCGAGGCTTTCGCCGATAGCCTGGAACTGCAGTGTAGACTGCCTCAGCTGCCCGACGAAGACGAGGAATTCGAGATAGTGGCTGAGCGCGCGGCCCGACGCGTCGACAGAGAGCCAGACAATGACATAATCCCCCCCGCAACACCTGACGAACTAAGACTGACAATACGCAGACTTAAAAACAGAAAAGCCCCCGGACCCGACAATATACATAACACGACACTTAAACGACTACCACACAAGGGCCTCATGGCCCTACTAAACATAACAAACGCGACACTCAGACTAAGACACTTCCCTACCCGCTGGAAAACAGCAAACATAATCCTTATCCCAAAACCCAACAAAGATCACACCATCCCATCCAACTACCGGCCCATTAGCCTGCTCCCGGCTATGAGCAAAGTGGTAGAAAAAATTATCCTAACCCGTCTAAGAACCCACTCCCAAGAACTGCAAGTCATTCCAGACGAGCAGTTCGCCTTCCGACCCAATCACTCCACTGAACTCCAAATCCTTCGCCTTACCGAGCACATCACGGCGGCCTTCAACAGGGGACAGTACACTGGTGCTGTCTTCCTGGACGTCGCAAAGGCCTTCGATACGGTTTGGCATGAAGGCCTACTGATGAAAATGCTCACCAACCAATATCCCATATCCTTTACCAAACTCATAAAATCCTACCTACACCACCGAAAATTCCGCATCCAAATCCAAGATTCCCTTTCCACCACCCGTCCCATGGAGGCCGGTGTCCCCCAGGGCACCGTCCTGTCCC